TTTTTTTTTTTTTGATTCATTTCTCTCATGATGATCACTATTCAACAAAAAGAAAAACGAAAAAAACTCAACTTTGAAACCGCGAACTTAAGTTATCAATTATTCAGGGCGAAAAGAAGTCGGGAAAGAAAGAGATGCTAAAGTTGATTTGCCGGCCATCAAACTTCCTTTACACTACGCTAATAGAAACCTATCTACCAAAATTTTCCCATATGCCACCTAAACTAACTCCTCGAATGTAAACCAGAAAGAAAACAAACTAAAAAGGTCTTGAAAAAAGCAAAAAATGTTACTGAACCACATTTTGAAGCAAATATTTAGTGTCAAAAAAAAACGCTTATTTTGATCACAAAAACCTGCTCATCCATAGCTTGTACAATTGGTCTGAACAAAAAAAAAAAAGTTGAAATCTTATTTCTTGGTTCTTTTCTGCCCCCTCCTACTCCTGATGAATGGAGAGCGAGTATAAAGTTGGAACAACGAAAGTTAGGTAACAAAGACGAACTCCCTCTTCCAAAAAGAACAGAAGTTACTGATGACAAAAATGCATTTCTTTAGTCCAAAGAGGGGAAAAAAACAGAAATGTAAAAACTGGGAAGTAAATTTTAAGAACTAATGGGGAGAAAAATGAAGTCTATTTTAAAAACTTGAAGGTTTTTTGGCTTCAATTTTTTTTCAATTATCGAGCAATCGTTGCAAAAAAAACTTCGCTTTCATTTGACGAACGATATTTAAAATGGCGTTAATCTCAGCGTTATTTTCAAAATCATTCTTACTTTTCTTCGAACTACTTTAAAACTAACAAACAGAAGGAAGTTGAAAAAGCAAAATATGCCAATGAATTTGTGTTTATTCAGGTGAAAATAAGTAGGAAAAAAGTGCTGTGTGAAAACTGGTGATACAAAAAAAAAAAAAAAAAAATCGTTGATGGAATAATAATAAAACTGTAAATGGTATAACGAAGTAAAGAAAATAGCAGAAAAATCCTTATCATTCAATTAGATCACAACCAATAAAATATTCCATTTAATGCTCATAACTTGTTACATTTGTACTCAAAAAATCAATAATGATTAGACGAGCGAATGAAAAAATTAAAAAAAAATTGAGTACCGAATTGAATTGATAGGACAAATACTCATAAACACGATGTGTACCACATATATACGCACACACACACACACACACACACGCTAACACTTCAATGCCGACGAATTCAGAATACTTGACAAGCAAACAGAAACGGTTAAAGAATAAGGAAAGAAACTGATACGGTACAGTACCCGTAGAAATGCGACGACGATTGTGGATTTATTTGCTGCATTTATTGCAATCGTGCTTATTGTTGTTGTAGATGGTGGTTGATCCATGTTTGGGTGGGGGCCCGATCAGAACCTGCGGGGACAGAGAACAAGTATGCGCAATAATAAATTGATATTAACGGGTGGGGGGCCAACAGGCAACCAACGGGAGAAGCGATAGCAGCGGGGCAACCGGAGCAACGACAGCCGAAGATGTGTTGGTTGGTGGGTATTAAGCAGCAGTAGCAGTGGCAGGAGCACCAACAGCAACACCGGCAACAGCAGCGACAGCAATAGCAACAGCAATAGCAATAGTAGCAACAACGGCAACAACAACTACGACAGCAGCAACACCGGCACCAACAAGAGCGAAAATAGCGGTAACAGTAGTAGATATAGTGCCCAGCAACAATAACGACAACAACAACAACACCGACAACTAACAACACCAATAACAATGGATCTATGCGGCTTGCATAAAACAGATAAGTTTTACGTTGATTTCCCAGTCTTCAACGACTGGAAGATTGAGCGGAGGAAAAAGATGAAGAAGAAGAAAAGAATTGCAGTATTAATGATGATGGCTGACGGTGGTGATGACGATGATGCTGATGCTGATGCTGATGACGACGACGATGATAATGATGGTGGTGATGTTGGAGAAGAATAGAGAAAGAAAAAGCCCTAGTAAACGGGGAACGAGCGGGGATGGATATGATATAAAAGTGTTTCATTATTACAACAGCTAACGCTTTGCGCCCTAAAGGCCTGATACTGTCTACTCTGATTCTTCTTCATCATCACTATCGCCACCATCTTCTTCCACTTATTCTTCTCCTCCTTCTCTTGCTTCCTTCACTTCTCCTTCTTCTTCTTTTTTTCTTTTTTTTTTCTCGTCCAACTATGCTGATGCTCAAATCCATTGTGAGAAGTAGCAGCAGCACTATCATTATCATCACCACCGACAGCATCTCAGCATCATCATTACATCTGATACTCTGCTTTTCTGCAAAAATCACAGCTTGCTGTCTGTTGTTATTGCTTCTCCGATTTTTTTAAACACTTCAGTTGTAAACGCTACTACATGTTGCTCAATACTTTAATAATATTATCCAAAAATGTCTTTGTTTTTTTTTATCTTTGGATTTCCTTTTTTTTCTTATTACTCCAGTGTTTTTTTTTTTCATCTTAAAAACTTTTTTTTTACTCACTTAACACTGATTAACTGAATAATTAAGAAGAATCAGAAACATCAGCTCTCCTATTTTCACTTGTCAACCTTTCAATCTCCGTCAAAGCATCATCATTGTTAAAATTTTTAA